TGAACTTTGACACAGAAAATCTTCCTTGAAAAAAACTCTTGTTATTGTTAATATCTTCTTTTTTTTTAATTTTCTAGAAGCCACATGAACTTTCCAGAAGGCACATTCACTCACCAGAGAGACAGACAGGATATGTAAGAAAGTAGTTCTCATGGGGAATGGTCATGCCAAAATCCCTTCTCTTCCATTTCTTTATTCTATCGAGATTTGATAGAATCTGTGCACACACACACACACACACACACACACACACACCTGGCATGTTTTTCAAGCCTCCAGGTCTAGGACTCAAACAGTGCAATCAACCATGTGGGATCCAGCCATCTTAACCATTACATCACTGACTGGCCTTCATTAATATTTTAGTTAAATATCTTTTCTATTTCATTTGTTTTCCTGTCTTTATAAAAACTTTTCATATAACCTTCTATAGAATGAGAATCTTAAGAATACAGTGCATTAGCCTTAAAAAAAAAAACAGTAAACAAAGGCATATCTTCACACTGTTACTTGTTTTAAAATTTAAGGCAGAGTCTCAGTATGACATAATCTTCCTGCTTCAGTCTGCTAAGTAGCTGGGACAAAGCTGTGTGTCACTAAGCATGAGCTGGAGGTTGGGTGAATCAAACCAGGCCTCCCATGTGACCTCAGCACGCAGAGCTGCAGAATCTAACCCATGTGTACCACCATGCCTGTGCCACAATTTTACTTTTAATACATTTTGTTTGATTATAATGCCTATATTTGCAAATACATATTATCATATCTATGCAGCAATCTATCTTATATGTGATTCTAATACTTTTCTTGGATCTTATGAGAACCCTGTTAGACAGATAGATTTTGTGACTGTATTTTTAAGAGGAAGTCAGACAAGAGAGACACATTTGTATGGAAACATAATGTACATTACAGTACTCTCAGGCAAAATTAGGATAAGAAGAGAACTGAAGCTTGGCAATTGCATTATTTCCTGTGCCTTATTTTTCCTTGATACTAAAAATTATGAACAGAACTAAATAAAGGGAAGATATACCATGTTTATGAAACAGAAGACTACATATTCTTAATGTGTCTGTACTTCAAATTCAACTATTAAATAAAATTACATTTCAATTAAAATCTTAGCAGTCTTGTTTTCATAAAATAAAACTCAATTATGGCCATTATCAGACTATTGACTGCAAATGGGAGATGGGTGAGGACCAAATGGAAACAAACATGAGAAGCTATTTGGGAAGATAGAAATAGTTTATATTTTGGATTGCATATGTGAGAGGTTTTCAATAAATTCATGGAAAATATGCATAATGAAGAAACAGATTTCAAATTTTTTTGCACCAAAATAAGCTCTTACTTGAATTCCATTTTCCCACTAACTATTAAGTCCCACCAGATAGTTATACAGGTAAATACTATTGGCAAAATTCTAAGAATTGTTTACAATTTGAAATAGAGAAGATATACCATGATATACCATAGAATGATCTATAATATGATTATTCTTTATGTACTTAGTACATCTATTTTGATTGGACATTTCAATCTGGTAAATTGGTTCTTTTTAAACATAAAAATAACCTAAATAAACATGTAACATAAACCCATATTGTTTATTTGTAAGGTAGTCTTTGATTAAGGAAGAAATTATATACAAAGAAAATAAATATCATAAAACCTACCTTAATTCTGTTACAAATACTGTTTTTTAATTTCTCTTTATCTGATTATAGTTAAGTAAGATCTTTTTTTAAATTTTTAATTTCATTTTTTTTAGTGTAGTTGCCTATTTTGTGTTGTTTTCTTGGACAACTTAGGCTTCCTGGTTTGTGAATTCCTTCCTCATGTTATCTGTGCATTTTGCTATTGAGTTACTAGACTATTTTATTTATTCTTATTAAGACTTAATTTTTCTGCATATACATATATATAAGTACATAATTGTTTCCAACAAGGATGCAAAAAAATGCAATAGAGAAAATACATTTTTTTCATAAATGGTGCTGAGAAACTGGACATCTACATACAAATGAATGAAATTGGACTCCTATATTACACCATACACAAAAATCAATTCAAAACGGATTAAAGACCTATAAACATAAGACCTGAAACTATAAGCTTGTTTGAAGAAAAACCTAGAGTGAAAGCTCTTTGATATACATCTCAGGAATAATTTTTTAAACAAGGCTTCAAAAGCACAGGCAACAAAAGCAAAAATAAACCAGTGGGACAATATCAAACTAAACAGCTTTTGCATAGCAGAAGAAATACTGAACAAAGTAAAAGAGCTATCTATGAATCGGGTTAAATTTTGCAAACCAGAAACTGATGTGCTAATATCTGAACAAGTAAGGAACTCATACAATGCAAGCAAGAGAACAAGTAAACTAGTTAAAAATGGGCAACAAACCTGAATAGACATTTCTCTAATGAAGATATAAAAATAATTAAGAGTACATAAAAAGGTGCCCAATATCCCTAATTATCAGGGAAATACAAACCAAAGCATAATGAGATATTGCCTAAAGAGAAAACAAGTATTGCTGATGATGTGGAGAAGACAGAACCCTTGCACACTCCTTGTGGGAATGAATATACATTGGTAAAGTCAATATGAAAAATAGTATGTAGGGTCCTCAAAAAATTAAAAACAGAACTACCATATGATCCAGAAATCTGTCTTCTGGATAAAAACCCAAAGGAAATAAAACCAGCAATTCATACAGGTTATCTCTACTTCTATGTTCAATGCAGCAATAGTTACAATAGCCAATGTGTGGAAACAACCTCAGTGTCCTTTGAAAATTCACAATATATAGATACTGTGTTCTGTATATGTAGAGAAATGTAATTATGAGATGTGAGGGGAAGGGAAAATGGCAAAATGTAGGTCAAAGTGTACAAAGTACTCTATGTGCCAACACTGCAGTTCAAGTTCTGGATCTGGTAGCTTAAAAAACATGTTTGAAAAACACACAAACATGTGCATGTGTGTGCATGCTCAAAATCCCGAAAGAATGAGGAAATGAAGGAAAAGGGATTATGGCATGATGCTTACACCCTCTCCTTCTCTCAGATTTTCTGCTTCTCTCTGGCAAGTGTACCTGCTAAGTAGGAAATTTAAAAAAGAAAAAAATGATTGTGAAATGATGAGTATTTTAATGGACTTAACTATAGCAATCATGTCACTATGTATAAAGAAGAAAATCTTGAAAAAGTTCACAGAGGGGCCAGCAGATGGTGTAGCAATTATGTCACGGTACTCCCACATGGCTGACCAAGGTTTGAGTCCTGGACTTTGTGGCTTGAAAGTCATGCTGGGTGTGTGTGTATATGTGTGTGTTTACCCAAGATACTGGGAGATGAATGGAAGAGAAGAGACTGCAGTGTGGCCATCCTATCTGGGGGGGTGATTTCTCATGTTCCCTCTCACTGTCTCTGTCTCTCTCCCACAAGCCCTCACACTCTAAGGCAAAAGTTCACAGGAAATACATATTATGAAAAATTATATTGATACCTAAATTTGAAGTGTATTTACACTGAAATAAGCTTATATTTTAATTCCATTTTTTCTATAACTTTCTGAAGTCCCCTCATATATGTGTATCAAAACATGTTGTTTATCTTAATTACTATACAATAAAAAGGTTCAACTGGCTATTTTTATTTAAAATATTTTTGACCTTGTTTGCATGTCTTTCAGTTTGTAGAAATACCTTTTCTTTTATGGAATACACATTTTGTGTCATATTTATGAAATAAATACATACTATCTTCTATTATTAATTGTTTCTACTTACTTATTTTCTGACTTCTATTGTAATAACTTCAATTAGTTTGTATTTATATGGGTTTTTTAAATTAATTTATTGTTTTTTATTTCCAAAGAAATTGGAGTGCTAAGGTGGGAGGGAATGCACAGAAATGGAGGGTAAGAGGCAGGGAAGAGAAGTTATCTTTTTGTTTCCGACTAGTTTCTATTTAGTACACTCTAATCGACAGACATGATTAAAGATTTTTATAATTTGGAGGACTAATTAGTGACTTAGTTTGTGAGTACATTATAGATACTCCACATGTTACTGAAAAGGAAACCTTGGGGACCAGCAGTTAGCGTAATGGCTATGTCGCTGGATTCACATGTAGTCGACTGCGGTTCGAGTCCCAGACCAAGTAGCATAAACTCTCACCGGGCGTTTGTGCATGCGTGCCCAAGATCCCAAGAGGAGAAGAGAGAAGGGATTGCAGCGTGGCCATCCCCACTAAGGGATGATTTCTCGCTTTCTGTCTGGCGAGTGCATGTGCCCTATAGCAAAAACATCTCAAAAAAGAAAAAAAAAAAAAAAAACCACAAGAAAACCTTGCACTTGGAGCAGAGTCTAAGAGAGAAAAACTTTCAGTTATCTTTCTGTGCTGATGATTGGGCTATTCTCAAATCCACTAATTTACTAGAGTAGTAGCTCTTCGAGGTCCAAGTATACTTGGAAGTCTCAATTCTATACCCAAATCGTTGCATCCTATATCCACAAACTTTGACTTACGGCTCCAGGAGAGTTCTTTAACTTTTTTTCTGAGTTCAATTCTCCATTTAACAGGATATCTGCTGTATTTTACTTAGCATATTTTAAATAAATTATCATACTACTGCCACTAAGAGTCAACAACATTAAAAGATTTTCCATTGAAAAAGTTATTTAGTTGATAATAATATTAAAAATATTGACTGTGTGAAAGCCCCTGACCCTAAGAATAATAATAAAAATTTGGTTTTGGTTGTATTAAATTAAGGTAAACAGTAAGAGAATTGAAACAAACTGTGTATCCTCACTGATAAAAAAGGCTGTATTTACTTTTGCTCCTAAAAATTATTATAAAGTCTTTATATATTTTGGTGCAATACATTTATTAGAGAAATTTTATTTTCTTAACATCATGCAGAATTGTGTCATTCTTTATCTTAATTCACAGGAATGTGTCAAAGAGGCTTCATTGCTTACCGATTTGTTTTCTGTACTGATCAACAGGAAGTTTTGTAGTGGAAGCATCTTTCCTACCCATCTTTGATCTCCAAAATGCCTGTTGAAAAGAAATAAAACAATTACAATATTTTTTTAAAAAAGAAAGAACTATCTATAAACTCCAGAAATAACTTACCTCAAAAAATTCATTATTAAAGCAATAGGCAAAAATAGTTGACTTACTCTCATTAGATATCCTTAAAGAAAACAAAATTCTTTCAAATAACTTATCAAGGATATAACTGCCGGTAATTAAATTTTCCAATCATTTGTTCTTGGTAGCATTCATTTTATCAAGTACTACCAATGGTTGATTAAACTACACTGTTAGCGAACATTATCTGCAAATGTGAAAATCATGTACTATTTATTTACTTCAGCTGGGGCTATGAGTATGTTTGGGCAACGAAGTTTTCTAATTACTTTCTGTGTTACATAAAAATTAAAGCTAAAGTTTGAATCTCAGGTACTATGTTTTATAAAACATAAAATAGATAATCAAAGTGAAGGGTTTTTAGGTCTAGTTCTGCCTTTTTTTAAATGTTTGTTTATTTATTTATTCAGAGAGCAAGAGAAAGAAAGACAAGGTCTCATACCACAATCCCTTCCCAACCCAACCAGGATTACAGGCACATGCATCCACCCACAATATATAAGTAAACCAGGGAACTAAACCCTAACCTTCCAAAGACTTCCAGCATTTCAGAGTACTGCACAAGTGCTAGACCAATACAGCTGGGACTAATCCTGCCCTTCTGAATGTAAACAGTAAAAGTTACTACTATTTATTAATATCCTCAGGATTCCAACAATATATGCCCTGTTAAATTTAATCATCAATATCATTTGAATCCTATTATTTTGATTTATCTTAAAAGTGTGTCAGAGAGTACAACTTGCTCACCGAATCTCTATTTTCCTTTTCTTCCTGGAGCAGTTATACTGTTTCCTAGTCTCAATTCAAATATGTAATTGAGTTCTAGTCAGTAGTATGTGAATTAAAGAGATGTACATCACTTTCAGGCATGACCGTAAAAAACTTCCATGAATAGTTGTGTGTTCTCTTCTTCTCTTCCTGGTGGTAAAATGGAAAAGATACCCAGATGAACCTTGAAGATACATTTGTAGGAATATAGAACTTTGGTCAGGTGAGGGATAGAGGAGAATACTCTCACTAACTCGTTGACCATCACTGTACTCTCACATGAGAAAAAAATTACTGAGTACTTGGGAAAGTCATAGCATATCTTTGAATAGGAAAATATGTCATAACTTTCCTGATGACATAATGAATTCTATTATGATTGAGTTGTTATAAGTTGTAATACATGGGTAAGCTGTATTTATTACACACATAAGTGTTTGCCAAAGCAATACAGAAAATGGTGCCTGGAAGTTGTTCCTTACTGCTTCTAGTAAGATGCTACAAGGTAAATATTACTCAGTCAAGAACTGGTTAGTTCACAACCAGAAACATAAGGGGACAGACAGGTCAGCAATATGGAAACTAATGAGGTTAGAAAAGCCAACTTCTAAAAATCAAATAGCAGGGAATAAATGTAGGAAGAAAATTGCAGTGACTACTGGTATATGGAATTGACTAGAAATGGTGAGGGAAATTTCAGGGAAACATATTTAGAATGAAATCAGAAACATTATCTAAAAAAAGGTTGTGAGTGAAACTAACCTACAGGCCTCTACACTTAAAACAGTAAATAGTAACCCCTGAAGAAGGCAACATTTGTGGAGTTGTAACACCTACTTCATATGTGACCAATAGAACAATGAATGGGAGTTCTTCTAAAAGGACCATAATTAGGATCTAAGCAAGAAACCTTCACTGCAGTACAGTGGCATTTCTCAGTGGTCTTCTGAGCAGCAGGTTTCATAATCATGATGGACCAGTGACTTCCCTGCATCGTTCTCATTCTTCTCTTTCTAAATGGGAGTGACTACTGAAGATATAAAACAGATATAACCTGCTTCATCATTTTTTTCTTAAAGTTTTGGTGAGGCTGTAGAAAAAGACATGAATTTCATAGACTTTAAGACTCAAGGAACCAAATCTTAACTTGAGATAGAAGACTATTCCTTGGTTGAGATCCTTTGCTTTGAGCTAAATGAGCTTTAGCTTCTCTATCGGGGAAGCAGAAAAAAAGATGTGCATCGCTAGTTAAGGGCCAGAAAGGTACACTATAGCAAAAATCTGTTGGTTGTCAATAAAATATACCCTCTCTTTTTGTGTCTGGCACATTTGACTACATTTCCTAACCTCCTTGGATGTTAGTTATAGGCATGTCATTGACTTTTCGGCCAATGAAATATGAATAAATTAATGTTTGCTACTTCTAGAACTGATCTATACAAACTTTCCATGAATACTCAATCATCTAGTTGAAATAAGATGATCTCCAGAGTGACTTTGAAAATGATGTACTGAAGATGGCAGGCCCTATGACATCCTATGACTTCTAAATGACTTGAAGAAGGAGAGCTATTCAACTTGCGTTTCTCTTTCACACTACTGTCAGAACAATAAACTTACAGTATCCGAATCACTGTACATTTTTTGCATCTGTTCACTGCAGTAGCTGGCATCACTCTAACTAAAACAAATATGTATAGATGTCTCCGTATAAAATGATGCAATTATCAAACTATAATTTCCCTAATAAGCATTATAAAGGTTCTTAAATGCCAAAAGCATTTGAAATAATTCAGACCAAACTCAATTGTTTATCTCTATATATAAATATAGCCACACAGATAACTAAGGATAATCCTACAGAAGAAGGTGAAAAGCACCTTCAACTTACTAATTTCTATTATGTGTAAGAAAATTAAAAGTTCAGTTGAAACCTACTTTTCCAATCATAATAATCATTGGATCTACAGTATTATAGCAATATCTAGGAATGTATAAAGTAAGGAAGAAAATAAAATAAATCTTCACTTTTAATAAACTATATAGTTATCACATCTAAGATAATCATTAAAATTGTAGAAATGAAACTAAGAGGACCAACAGATGGCGTAATGGCTATGTCACTGGACTCCCATGTAGTCGACAGTGGTTCAAGTCCTGGACCCGGTGGCTTAAACTCACACTGGGTACGTGTCCGTGAGAGCCCAAGATCCCAAGAGGAGAATGGAGAAGAAGGGATTGTGGCATGGCCATACCCCCTAGGCGTGATTTCGTGCTTTCTGTCTCTCTGTGTCTTTCTTTCTTTCTGGAGAGTGCACATGCCCTACAGTAAAAACCTCTCCAAAAAATAAAAAAATAAAAAGAAATGCAACCAAGGTATCACCTCTTATAGTCTTTCTTGTTATAATTCAAAACATTAGAAATAATTCTGTCAAAACAACCACTGTAAAAAAAGTCAATAGATATAATTTATTCATATAGCAATTCTATTTGCATAGTGTTTTGCATTTATTAATTAAGAGGAATCAAGTCATTTTCATCTTAGTTGTGTGGTGCTTGGAAAAATACCACTCCATTGTAGGAGAGAAATTAGTTTAAATGAAGAAGTACACAAGATATTCCCTTTTCAATATAGTTTCACACTTTTTTTATTATGGAATAATCCTAAATTTATAAAGAAGCAAATTACCAAAGCTATCTACCAAAGTGATTGCTCACTATGCTTTCACTAATTCCTTCCTGGTCATTTAAACTTATAAACCAACAGAGACACTTGTTGGGGCCAGTATTTTATTTGTTCATGACCTGTAGTAAATAAAGTAAGGAATCCATTGAGAATATCTTTTTGGGACCAGCATAGTGGTTACGTTGCTGGACTCCCACATCCCACATGGCTGATTGTGGTTTGAGTCCCAAACCCAAAAGCTTGAAACTCACTCCAGGAGCATGTGCATATGTGTCCAAAATCCCAGGAGGAGAATGGAGAAGGGATTGCAGCACAGTCATCCCGCCCAGACAGTGATTTCTCCCTACCCCTCTCACTATCTCTCTCTCTCTGGCATGTGCATGCACCCTAAGGCAAAAACCTCTACAAAAAATAAATGAAAAAAAAGAAAGGAAATATCTTTTCCCCAATGAAAATTGAATTTTTCTCGATAAATTTACTGTACATAACAAAGTTATTCCAAAAAAAGCTAAAGAAACTAAATTTTTATAAAGGTCTACACTCTAAAAACAGACACATTTTATATATATAATCATCCTTGAAAATATAAATTTTTAAAGAACTTCAACCAAGGAGATACATTAAAGAGGAACTAGTTTTAACTTTGTCTCTAGCTATTTTAGTGATGGGTAATACTTAGTCAAAATTTTCAATATTTAAACTTATTCCTTGTCTTTGAAATTATATTCTATTCCTTAAACAAAATAACATTTTACCAAATAATAAAACAAAAAATGCCTACAGAACACATATTTACACAAATTACTTACATTTTCATAGCACAACAAATACAAGGTGGAAAATATTTTACTTTAATACTAAACACAATGAAACTATTTTAAATGATCTAAAGAGATATCCATTCATCTTTTTTGGTACTGTCAATGCCTCAGACATCCAGAACCACTAAAATGTTCTGACTCTTCTTTGTTCTTCAAAGCCTTGCAGTAATCATCATTCATTTCTATTGCTTTGATGGTTAGATAGCAAACTCCCAAGAAATCCAGGGAGACATTAGCACATACAGCCGCAGTTTCTAATAAGACAGCTATTTGCATACAAGATCAGCCACAATTTAAAATGTGTTGTGATAGAAGCGGAAAGGGAATAACAGATTTATATTAGCATGTACAATAAAAGATTGTTTTCACAATTTAATTCCTTAGAGATTATGTCTCATCACCTTCTTTCACAAAGAACACTGCATTCCCTGAGGAACTAACTTGCTCTGAGACCCAGCTAAACTAAAATATAGATTAATAAGATAATATTTATTATTTATGAATTTTGCTGTAGGAATGATTTCCAATTAAATCATCAGAGAAGTTTTTAACATTCTTGAAACTTGATAACACATATTTAAGGAAGAAAAAGATGCTAATTTTATTTATTATCTAAACTGCATAAT